TTTTACTCCTACATTTCTCCCACAATGGTCCCTCCTACTCCGATTTTCTCCCGGAGGGCTATTTTTCACATGGGGTCTTATTTGACTCTATTTTCTTGAGGGAGGCTGATCCAAGATTTTTTGGATTGCTCCCATGCCTCCCACTTCAGTTTTTTTAACTTTTCCTTTTCGTTTTGGCCTACCCGTTTGTCACCACTAGTACTTGCACTAGTGGTGCTAATATTCTTGGTCGTCAAGATGTCGATCTTGACGGTGCACCTTGCATTTATTATTTTTCCCTCATACGATGCCGCCGTTTCTTCTTGGGACTTTCACATGTCCCCGCCACTTGTCCCATCGGTGGTCCTCGACACTTAGTCCCGCCGGTGGTCCCCTACACTTAGTCGCGTCGGCGGTCCCGACATATTTCGCCCCGGACGCTATTATTTTTACTTAGTCCCACGTGGCCCCGGGTGCCTTTCCCCGAGGTGTCCCATGCCCCTTGGGCGTCTTGTCACCCCATAGCGACCCCTCTCCTTAGTCTTCCCTCGCGCCTTGTGCGTGCCGATCTCTCTGGTCGTGGGCCTCCACTTAGAAGCTCCCATAGGTGACCCCCACGTTGGCCCTTCATTTTCTGGCTTCCCGCGGCTTTTGGCCGCCCATCCCTCGACTTCCTCATTCCCTTATTGCTATCGCGCTGCAATTGCTAGTTCAAAGGACCCTTTAGCCTTAGTCTTATTGCATTCCGATGACCCTCCCGGCCTCCTGCTATGCTCTATGTGCCCCTGTTCTTGCGCTCGCTCGCTTGCCGCCGCTTAGTTTTTTTCCCCCTGTGGTTCTTGCCCCAGGGCATTACTCCCTCCTGCGGCCTAATCCTTTATCTCGTCTCACTTCAGATTTCTCTGTTGTGCACAACTCGTCCATATTCGCTCTCTCGAGTGATGGGAAGTTATTTGGGACTCACCAGTCCCGACACATTCCCCCCACTCTTTCGCGATGTCCTCATCGCGCACCAATCTCTTGTTAGTGAGTTTTGGAGGGAATAGATGAGAGAGGGGGATGAAATGTTATGGATGGTTAATTTGCCAGGGTCCGTTTCGTTCTTTTCCCATTCCTTTCTCAATGTTTTCCTTAGCTTCCGCCCCTTGGGGTGGAGGAGGGTATGGGGGAGTCGAAGGTTCTACAGCTTAGACCAGGTTGCTCATTTCCGTCATAGCTCTGCCTCTTTATCTTTCCGTCAATTGAGATGCAAACTTCCTTTTCAGTCAACTCTGTATACCCAGCAGGGCAGCCCATTTTTTCAACTTCAGTAACATGAAGCAGACGGGGCTCTTCTCGCTTCATGCACTTAACTACTGGTATGCTGGCTTTATTCCCGGGATGACAATTTGTTGTCATAAGACAATTGGTTTTCTCATTCTATGCCTTGGCTTTGTTGATAACAAATTGTAGGCAAGTTTTCGGATGCGACTGAATGTCAAGCATTTGCTCCGAAAGGGAGATGTTCATTCAGTACAACTGCCGCCTTTGCTGTGGTGATACCCACTTCGAATCAGTGAGCCCAGACACAACTGCCCTTAAGTGCTTCGTAATCTCAAATCTATCTTCCCATTTCATTGAGAAACCATTCTCGAGCAAAAATCATTTTGGTTTCGCCTCATTCATTACTCTTAGGGTCATAAAAAAATAATCAACTTTTCGGTCCGTGCAATCCATGTTCTCCCGTCATTCTTTCCTCAGTCTCATGCTTAGCCAGTTCTCATGTATTCTTCCCATGTCATTTTGCCTAGCTTATGTGCGGCATCCTTTATCCTTTCTTGTATCCAGACTTTAAAATGCACGTTACTTAGTCCCCTTACATCTTTCTTCTGGCCTTTTGCCAGACCTCTCTCATACTTATGCAAAGTTCATTATATCTGTATTTCTTTTCGGGGCGTCTTGCCAGACTTTTCCTTAGGTCTACGCAAAGCCAATTTCACATATCTTCTTTTTTGAACATCCTGCCAAGCCTTCTCTCAAGCCCATGCTAGGTCAAATACTCATCCATTTCTTTCCTCGACATCCTGCCAAGTCTCTTCTCAAGCCCATGTGGAGTCACTCACAAATCTTTTCCTCAGCTGGACACCTTGCCAGACCTTTTCTCAAACTCATGCAACGTCAATTACTCAACTGTTTCTCTTCTTGTCATCTTGCCAGACCTTTTCTCAAGCTCATGCAACGTCAATTATTCATCCGTTTCTCTTCTGGACATCTTGCCAGGCCTTTTCTCAAGCCTGCGCAAAGTCAATTACTCATTCATTCTTTTCTTCTGAACATCTTGCTAGACCTTTTCTCAAGTCTGCGCAAAGTCAATTACTCATTCATTCTTACGCTCATGGTATCCTTCTCTTTTGCACGCTTTTTCTTTAGTAGATGACACACTTTCCCCCCACTCAAAATGCGATGTCCCCATCGCACGACTAGTTCTCACTCAGAGGTAAGCAGACCTTGGCCCACCAACTAAGTAGACGGATGCCGGCCCATCAGCCCCAAAAAGGAAGGGTGATCAGTTTCCCCCTGCTGATAACTCACCTCATCCCCTACTCGAGTCCGACTTTTTGCTGCTTACGAAACGAACATCATCACTGAGGTACTACCCCACACCTGGAAGGTAGGTCCAGTCCAAGCATCCCAGGACCCCATCTTGCCGTAAGTGCTTTCTCGCGAATCGTTCCTCCCGGGCGGTGTTTTCTTGGATCCGGCCTCTTCCTTTCAAGAGAGTTGGGGCTCTCTATTAGTCTGCGAGTGCCGTTACGAAGACCTCGCGGTTAGTCCCGGAACGGTTGTAATGATCCGGCAGGGCGGTGTCACTCGCCCTGTGGTGGTTGCGGCTTCCACCTGGTACCACGCCCGATTCCTCCCTCTGGACAGTGCTGCTCAACTTAACGCGAGCAGTCGTGGTCCATTGCAAACGGTCGTGTCGCCCCTCTACGGCGTGGTGTGTGGTTGGGGAGAAAAAAATGAGACTTAGGAAAATGAATGGCTCTCTCGCCCGTTTGGCAGCACGCCCTTGACGTTTAGGTTTCAACATGAGGCGCAATTTGAACTCCCCGACTAGAGCTCGTTGTCGGGGTTAGTTCCGGACGGCCAACATCAATCAAAGAGAGGTGCTTTGGTCCTTCAACCCTTATTCCTTCTTATGAGGAGCAGGTCGCGCTGAGACTTTTCCCTTAACGGGTAGAGGTCTTGGGGTCGCGATGCAGGCATTGCTATCCCCCTTATGCTGAGACCTGAGACTAGAAAAAAAGAAAGCTCAATCTCTTGCTATTTCCTTGGTCGGCCCGATGACCTTACATCAAGTTGCCTAGGGTCCCCTGGCTATGCAATGCGATATTCAATCTTCAAACACTCAATCCCACGCTATTTCCAAGGCTGATTCTCATGGCTGGTCCGACAGCCTCTCATCAACAAGGCCGCCCACATGGCCGGTCTGGCGGTCATTTTCTCAATAGTCATTTCTCAAGACTGACCCTTCCGCCCATTCAATCCTTAATTCTCTCATTCCTCAACACCCAATCTCTGTGACCGTCCCAACGGTCCCTACCCTTCTTTATCCTGTCCTTCTCATTCACATCTTTCTTCCGCCCCCTTGGCTATTTCAGCAGCTGACCCATCGGCCTTTTCCATCTCTTCCGTTCATTCCATTGGCTATTTCAATGACCGACTCATCGGCCTTTTCCATCTCTTCCATCCATCCATTGGCTATTTCAATGACCGACCCACCGGCCTTTTCCATTTTTTTCGCTCATTCCAGTACATTCTCAATCAACCTTTCTCAATCAAATATGCAGGGGACCCCAGTGCCTATTTCAAAAGGAATGACCCTTGTCAGGGGCCATTCCCGAACAATCTGGTTAGAGTCGTTCTTTTTCATTCTCAAGTCGAACAACCTAGTTATGGCCATTCCTTTCCATTTTCAAGTCGAACAACCTGGTTAGGGTCATTCCTTTCCATTCTCAAGTCGAATAGCCTGGTTAGGGGCATTCCTTTTCATTCTCACGTCGAACAGCCTGGTTAGAGCCATTGCTTTTCATTCTCAATGTTAGTGCCCGAGGGGGTGGGCCTCGAGGTTACGGATCCCATTTTTGTCTTGGAGGTTAAAAGGTGGTCATCTCATCTTTTGCTTGTTGTTCTCTTTCTTCCATTTCTCACAGTGATGTACCATCCATTCCATTTCTCACAGTAATGTACCATCCATTCCATTTCTCACAGTAATGTACTATCCATGCATACATCGAACTTAACGTCCAACACTCGAGTTGGGGCTTGCGACCCCAAGCAACACCAGCTTACCCGACCGTTCAACCATAGCAGGAGACAGGGGCGCCCCCTTTTTTTCTTCTCTCGTTCCGACGACTCAGATCTTGACCATTCTCAGACTAATTGATGACTCAGTTGGATTAGACTCCTAGAGAAGGAGTATTCTATATGCCCCTTAACCCATAGGTTCCCTAACCTCTATTGTACTCGACCAATCATTCAATACGATGGTTCGCTCGTCAATCCGTACTCAAGGTTTCCCCCTCATAAAAGCATAAATCTTATTCCATCCAGAATTCACAATACACCCTTCCCAACTGGTCTCATCCCATGCCCCATGATCTTGTCTTATGTACCCACTTTTGAAAAGTAGCTCATCCAAAAGTAGCCTTAATATGCTATCTTCTAATCTTATCACGACACAGTCTTAGCTGACTCTTTCATCACTCATCCTTTGCAAGCTTACTAATACTATACACATTCTGCTCCAATGTTTTGCAATTGAGAAATAAAACCAGGATTCTTGCCCAACACTCAATCAACATCTAATGCCTATTGTTGTCCTGTGCCTCGACTTGCTCGTTTCTTGATTCACCCTGTTCCTCAACTGGCTGTCTAACCCCCAGGCCGAGGGTCTCGATTTCTCTCCTTATCCTTACAATTTTTTGTAACTCTGCCTCGCCAAAAACATCCAGTGGTGTGGGTTCCACTCCTGCCCTTGCGAGTTCCCGAGTCTTGACAATCCATTCGTGCCTGATCACATTGGATCACTGCTGAAACCAATGACTGGGTGTTGGTCCAAACTCGTCCTCCCATCTGATAGCCCCGTCGCCCGGCTGGTGCATCGGAGACCGCCCCTCTTCCCTAGGTCTTGAGATCTCATCTCTCTCATCCCCGCTGCTGATTTTTATGACTTCTCTTACATCCTCCTCCTCGTCCTTCTCGCCTCCTGTCTGTATGGGGCTATACCCACCTGCAAGGTTCTTCAGATCGTAGGTAAAAGGAATCTCTGTCCCAGTTCCATACCCCTCACAACTGTCGTGGCCGCTTCGTCCTTCAAGCGGGTTTTCCCTTCTTTCCTCACCCTCCTCTTGTTCGTCGCGCATGTCTTGTTCCCCCTCGCTTTCCCCATGCCAAGTCTCACGTCGCTTGCCCCTGTTGACTCCTTCCTCGTCAGAGACCTGAACCTTATCTCCCATCTCTGCATTGCCTCCTTCTTCCACTTCTGCCTTTTCCCTCCCTGCCTCACTGTCAGACGAGATTTCTATTGCTTCTCCCTCGCGGAGAGGTGAAGGTTTTCTACGCAAGCATTTCCTTCTACCCCTGCCTAGCACTCACCCACCCATGAGTCCTATGTACAACTTTCTCTTCGCTGCCCTCCTCCCTTGGCTTGGTCCTGCTTCCTCCCCTTCGGTAGGCCTGTTGATCGCCCCGCTGTCGTTCTCGTTGCCGAATTTCATTTTTTTCTAGGTTACCAATGGTGCGGGGGCCGGTCGTCTCCCCCGGACGTCTCCCCCATACGTCCGGTACACCCGTCGTCCGGGAAAAAAAAAAAAAAAAAATGTAAAAAAAACAAATATTTTTTTTTTCGGTTTTCGATTTTTAACTCATGATTGACTGCGAATTTGAACATGACTCCAAGGCAAAAGTTGCTTGTATTGTTATGTTACATAACATATATTGTTTTAAGAGTTTTCTGAGAACTTTTTTTTTTTTTTTTTTTGGCGCTAGGCCGGACAACCCCTGTCCGATCGGACGTCCGACCAGACCTCCGGTCGGACATCCCTGACGGTTAGGGGGGTCCCGGACGTCCGATAATAACCTAGAGTTTTTTGCCTTTTCTCGTTTTTCTCCTAGGTCCTGTATAACAAAACAACACCCACAATGCCCCGCATACGCACATTCCCCGCAGTCCGGTAGACAGCTCCTTTTCAAAAAATGCTCCCAGTATCCTTCGCATCATGCCCCTTTTATACATTTCCCTCCCTTATCAAAAAAGCATCGTTTGTGAAGATCCGATTTTTTTCCCGTCAAAATTTATGGTACAATGCCCCAAACATCCCTTCCTATCGTCGCACAAGCCAGATATTGCAAACCCCCAAGTCATGCTGCCTTTCATCCTCAGTCAGTTCAAGCCATTGCCCCAGTCCCCCAAAAATGACAGTCCCATGGACATGGTCAGAGACAAACCATAGTGTGGGCAAGGCTGTGGTCAGTCTTTAGCTTGTGGCCCCTCAATTTCCTTATTTTCGGCCTTATCTGGCTCAAAGACACGCGTCGAACTTATTTCCTAGCAGATGAGGCATGTCTGGCAGTATCTGGCGACCATGCCTGCCATGCCTGGCCAATAATAGAGTGGTGCTATCTTCGCAAGAGTCCCTTTTGATGATCGATGTCCCCCCACCAAGCCGTCGTGCATTGCTTGGATAACATCCAACTGCCTAGATCTACCGCATACGACTGTTCTAGGCATAGTTCCTTCTTCTCTTCGGAACAGGTGGCCCCCCCTTAGGACGCACCTCCCGGCTTCCTCCCTTGCTTTAATGCCGACTTCCAAAGGTTGTTTGTTTCCTACTAGCAACAATCCGATCTCCCGAAAGAGTCCTTCATATGATTGGACATAGAAAAACTCCTTTCCTTCCCGATCCTCCTCATTTTTCTCCTGCATCTGGTTTACCAACCATTGCAACTCTTTCCTTTCCCGCGATTCCACTAGGCTCATTACGGCTTCCCGGCCCCCTTCAACCGTCATTGCTATGAGTTCTTCCTTTGGTCCTACTATTGCTCCCCACGAATCCCTTTCCTCTTTACGACCTCGAAAGTTGACTGGTCCTTCTCTAAGTTCTACTACTACGGCAGGTGCCCCTTTTTCCAAAGTCTGAATCAGCAGTTCCCCAGATGCGCACCCCTCGCCCATCATTTCGTTGTCCACCGCAAGAGTCCCTCTTTCGAATGAAAGGAATGCGTCTATGGGTTCCGCATCCTCCACCCCTTCGGGAGTGATGCAAACCCGACTCAGCCCATCTGCCTTATTGCGGATTCCAGCAATCCGCTCGATCTTGTAATCGAACTGCCAGATGAATCCTACCCATCTCCCCACCGTCAGATCTATAGGTTTGTAATTCTTTAGAGCCCCTGCGACATTCGTCGGATCGATCCTTAAGGTGAACCGCCTCCCAAATAGGTAGGCCTGGAAGGTCTTAAGGCAATGCAGGATGACTAGGATTTCCTTCTTGAATTGCGAGTACCGCCGTTCTGTGGAGTTCAGGGTTTTACTTTCGAACCTAATTGACCTCTATTTCCCTCCCTCGTCCCTTTAAATCAGTACGCCTCCTACGACAAAGGGTCCTCCATCTGTTTCCAGGATGAATGGTCGCCCTACCTCATTATTAAAGCAGGGCGCCGACAAAGCGACCTGCTCTGACGTCAGAATGTCCTTGAGAGTCTGGACGGCTCCCTCTCGCTCCTCCGTCCAGTCCATGGTCCCTTCCTCTCTGATCATAGCCTAGATAGGCTCCACAATCTTGGCAAAATTCTTAATAAATATCCTCCAGAAACCGACCACGCCTAGGAACGCTCTCACCTCCGTTGTAGTGCGCAGGGGGATTGGCCTCTGCAATATGTTGTGCGTCTTCGCCGGATCTGGCTTCCTACCATAAGCACCGCAGCAAAATCCTAGTATGGTTACTTCTGGTACTGCTAGAATACTCTTTGGTCCACTAGCCGTGATGTTGTATACTAGAAACCGGCAGAGCAAGTCCTTGATGTCTTGTAGATGATCCCATACAAACTTTCGGATTCCTGGTTGGACTTTTATCTCGTCCTTCTCCTGCGAGCCTTTGATTGGATTGTCGTCGATATAGCGTTCACACTTTTCAGGGAACATGTCCCCGGCTACTGGTAACATTCTTTGTTGCGCTTCGGCTACCGCGTTTGTAAAGCCCATAGGGGTCACTTGCATCTGCAACTGGCCTACCGGGGTGTGTATTGCGGTGTGCGGCCTGTCCCGGACATCCAATGGAAGCCGGTCATATCCCAAGTACAGATTTATTAGGGAGTAAATGCTTCGTCCGGCGTGCGATTCCGCCAATAGATCGGCTTGGGGTAGCGAGCCAGCATCCCGGATGGTCACTGCATTCAGCTTCTGCAGATCCTGAATCCACCTTAACGTCTTATTGGGCTTTCGAAAGACGAACCATCGATTTGCATATGGCGACGCCGTAGGTTCCGCGACGAAGGAGTCCATCTTTGCTCGAAGGAGGTCTGTCACTTCCCCCTCTATTCCGAATTCATATGACGGTCCCTTGTCATTCCAGCATTCATGCTCTACCGTGTGGATTCTGACCGGAGGGATCAATTTTGCGTCCAGCCGCCCCTTCTGATTGTCACTAAAGGCAAATGCCAAATGAAACTCCTGGCAGGTCTTCTTGATAAGGCGGTTTTCTTCTTCTGTTAAGAACCCGTCTATCCCTATCTTCATCGTGTCGGCTACCTCATCTGGTATTCGATGTCCTTCCGTTGCCCTCCTTTCTCGGATCACCTCCAGAACTTCCTCCTCCTTTTCCATGACCTTTTTCTTCCATATCTCAAGGAGGATCGAGACCGGCTTTGCTTTCTTCCCTACCGGCTTGTACTTTCGAACACTTCCTTCTGGGATCTTTCTTCTAAAAAATGAACGGTCGGGATTGCCCTCGTTGCTTCTACGACTCGTGGCTGAATACTAACTAGTTTTCCATTCAGGCAATATCCCTTTTGTACCTCTCCTTCAAATTTCGCCAAGGCTGCCGGGTCCACTCATACCTTGTGGTATCTGAGGGCCTTGATGAGCTGCAACAAATCGGGGATATCGAGCGCGATTTCCGACACGTCCTTGCACACTTCGCTTTGCTTGGGCAGGCTGGCCCCAAGCTCAACTTTCGTCTCCCTTTCTGCCACCATGACACCTGCCTCCTCTTCTTCTGGGGCATGCCCATCTTGATCCACTCCTTTTTATTGAATACCTCCTCAATCATTATTTCTACCCTTTCTCTCATACCTTCCATCCGCGCGAAAGCCCCTTTTCGTGCGCTATCTTCGAACGAAGGTGACCACGTGGTCATTTTTCCCTTTGGAGGGTCCCCTTCCGTCCCCAGAAGTTGGAGGAGGTCTCCCCGGCCGATCACTGGGTCCTCTATGTCTACCATATACGTGCCGTCAAGCACGTGCATGCCTATCATTTCCACGTTTGCGCACCATGGTCTCCCGAGGATTATATCGTGGTCCATTTCCTCCATTACGGTCATCTGTTGAAATGACTAGATTGACTCCCTGACTCCTGCTTTGACTGCGCATTTCGTGACATACCCAGCGAACGAGATTTCCCCATCGGCTCCCTGGATGCTCCCTGTTACTTCCTTATTTACCGTGCAACCTGTGACCGTTGCGAAATCTTTCCTTATGAGAGTGATTTTCGCTCCCCCGTCTACCAATGCGTCAGTATGATGAGTCCCAATCTGAACCTTCAACTTTCCTACGGGTAGCGCATGAAAACTGAGCTTTGTCCCAGGAGGTGCCCTCATGACCTCACCACCTTCCCTGTCTGGTAGGCTTAGGCGGATATCTGCAAACGCCTTCTCGAGATCTTCCAGATCCCCTCGACTCCTTTGGAGGTTAGCGACAGGGTTGTCAGGCGGGGGCCCCGGGGGCAAAGCCGGGGTAGGGGTTTGACCCCCGGACCCCCGCCGG